AGTCTTGAAAAAACAGGGGAATTCCAGAACAATTAATTGTGCTCATGCAGAGTCTGTACATAACTAAATCAAGGGGTAGTTGGGTGAACAGCAAAAGGGGATGCTACCTTGTTTTAAATCAGGAAAGATATGTTTCAGGATTGTATCATTTATTTTTCATACTTATTCATTCATTGTGCTAAGTAAATAAGCTGAGATGTTGGATCATTTTAAGAAGAATATGGCATCAAAATTGGAGGAAGGTTTACTAACCACCTAGAGTATGCAGATGACACACCTTGCTTACTGAAATTGAAGGAAACTTGAAGCACTTGCTAATAAAGATCAGGGATTCCAGCTTCCAGTATAGATTACAACTCAATGTAAATGAGGCTATAATCCTTAAAAACTGACCCATATGAAGGTGGGACCAAGGTATGCAGCCGATGCGGTGAGCTCCGGAGTCAGGGAGGTCAAGTGGAGTGTTCTGGTGAGTGGAAAGGTCCCTAGGAGGGGTCCTCCCTATCCAGGAGGTGGTCCTCTCCAGCATCTGCTTTATTTCAAGCCCTGGAGACCTGGATCCATAGAGCAGGGATTTCCTGCGAGCTGTGCAGCCCTTGTGCACTTTGCCACCAGCCAGTGCCTCCCCCTTTCCACCCTCTTGTCTGGTCGCTGCTCCAGGAACAGGACAACCATCATGTAGAGCCCCCCAAGGCTGGGTGTGACCACCACATAGCAGCTGTCCACTCGCGCCTCCCACCTGGGGGAGCTGCGCCTGTCTCCCACGGTTCCTCTCCCTCCATGGGGCTAGCAGCGATTCTGGCTGCAAGCTCTGGTCCCTCATGGCAGGCACCCAGGAACCACAGCAGGCTTGAGTGCCTGCGGCTTGGTGCACCCAACACCAGTGCCTGCGTCACCTCCAACCCCCGCTCGGTAACACCTGCCCGGTTAGCAGGGCCCAGCCCTCACCATTTCAAGGGTGCCTCAGTTTATCATAATCCCAGAGTCTTGCCAGACACAGAGAGCTGCACCTGTACTTCCCGGCCACCATTTCCCTTGTAGGGCAGCTTCTGGCAGCCCCTGCATCTCCCAGCCCCTTTTCTCCCAGTCCAGAGAACTGTGCTGCACCCTGCCTCCACCTGAGCCTCGGGTAGTCCAAGTAGCCTGGGGTAGTCCAAAAATAATAATGACTTGTAAATTATCAAGGGTTCATGAGGGAGGTGGGGATGGGGAGGGAGGTGAAAAAATGAGGGGCTGATGCCAGGGGCTCAAGTGGAGAGCAGATGTTTTGAGAATGATGATGACAACAAATGTGCAAATGTGCTTGACATGATATATGTATGTATGGATTGTGAAGAGCGTTGTACGAGCCCCCAACAAAGTTATTAAAAAAATTTTGACCAACAGGTAACATCATGATAGACAGATATTAGAGTGCTGTTGTCATGTATTTTGTCTTGCTTCAATCCACAATTGATTCTCCTGGAATCAACCATCAGGATATCAAAGGACGAGGTGCATTGACAAAATCTGCTGCACAAGACGTCTTCAGAGTGTTTAAAAGGAGGAAAGTTACTTCTCAAGCCATAGCATTTTCAATGACCTCGTATACACGGGCATGTTGGACATTGAATTAGGAAGACCAAGGAATCAATACTTGTGACTGATGCTGCGGAAGAATACCGAGGGTGCCAGAGACTGCCAAGGGAACAAACAAATCTCTCTTGGAAGAAGTACATTCAGATTGACCCTTAGACTCAAGGATGGCGAGACTGCGTCTCAAGCACTTTGGACATGTTGTCAGGAGACAGCAGTCTCCTGAGAAGGACATCACCCTTCCTAGAAGGGCAGTGAAAAGAGGAAGACCCTCAACCAACGAATTGGCACAGTGATTGCAACAATGAGCAAAGCACAGGAACAACTGCGAGAATGGAGGACAGTGTGATGCTCTGCAGGGACTCTGTGGGTCAGAACTGTCCTACCAAGGACAACCACAAGAACCACAACCAACAACAACAACAGCATTGTATGAAACTCCCCCCCCTCTCAAGACTATGGAATATTTGAGAACACTGCTGGGATATGCTATATCATCCTTCAGCAAGCTTTCTGGATTGTAATAAGTGTAGTATGGGGCAGGTAGTAACAAAGATTTATGACTTTCACAAAGTAGAGTTTTGGTTTTCTGACTTGTTAAAGGAATACAGAGTAGATGACTGAAGTCAGCCAGAAATGGTTATTAGCACTGACCTCTTCTGCTGAGTGACGCCCATGTTCAGATTGCCTAATTTGAGGGTCATGTTTGAAACAAGAGAGTTTTTCCTATTCTAACTGCCGGACCTGGACTATTCCCTACTGGTGTTTGACCTCAGATTTTTCCTTTGTGCATTTTTCTCTCCTGAGGACCTGGTCCTCATGACCTTTTTTAATATGGATGATTATTCTTTTGGCATCTCTGGAGAGGAGGGATCTACTCTCAGAATTATGATTAAAGTCCCAATGAGTTTAATTATAGAAGAATCATCTTTGAGATGTACCAATTAAATGACTCAACAATATTTATTGCAGTTCAAATACAAATACAGTGCATAAAGATTGTTGCTGTTATCAAAGAGAATACTTGTCTATATGAGTTGTAGCATGGCTGGCTATTTGGGAGATTCAAATGATGGGCTCAACACATAACTAGATATGAATATGAAATTATTCTCCATCATTCAAACAAACCAAAGCACAACTATGCTCTAGGAAATCAGGCCAGTATCAAGACTGAGAAATTTGGAAACACTCTTTCACTTGTGAAACACAGACTGTAAAATATTTATCTGAATAATTCACATTTCTCTTTCCTGTGAAACTTACTTTTAGATTTTTAACTCTATTGCTTATTTAACATTTGTTTGTTTTAGACAAAATATGCCTACAATGGGGTTGTTATTGCTCTTTTAATGAAAATGTAGTCTTCTTTCTTTTGCAGAACCAATTTGATATGTCTATTGAAAATCCTAATAACTTAAAATATAACAATTTTTTGAAAGACTGAGATGATTCAGACTTCCTGACTGAGATGATTCAGACTTCCTGAAACATGGAAAGCGTTTTCCAAATAGGCACATTTCTTTTGATCTTGTGATGAACTGTGTGGGATCCTACTTTACGTACCCACAGAGACGACATCTGTTTATGAAGCTGCTATCTTTTAAGGTGCCAGAATTTCAAATTTGCATCAAATGACTGCTTGGTTTTGCAGGTAATCTAGGAAGCATTTTTATACATAAGGGGTTTCACTAAGCTTTAAGCTAAACAAGAGAATATTGGTTGCGTGATTTGGAGAGTCAAACATTTACAAATAATTTGTATAATCAACCACATTAAAGATTGGTAAAATTTATGAGAATTGACTCAAATCTGTAATACCCTTTGGTGTGTTTTCATAATATAAAGATCTAGAGTACATTTAAAATGGTTCTGGAAGCATTATCAATCTGTTATAATTAGAGAATGCTGTAAATCTTTAAGCTTTGAATTAATGAGTTGGAAGAACCTCGGGTAATGAATGGGTTGACAGAATGTTTGCAATAAGGAACCCAACCATAGGAACACTTGTGAGGATGGGACATCACCAGACAGTGTGTCTTTTCTTCTGTCACACATGGCATAACTATGAGTTGACACTACCTTGACAGTATTTAACAACAATAATAGTTAAGCAAGAAAACTATTATTTTTACTCACAGGAGTGATAGTTTGGGCAAGAGAAGGACTAAAATTGACCATAAATTTAGCAAAATGAAGGTATTTGTGTAAAGAACATAGAATTCTGTCACTCTCTTAAAAGAAATGTGGAGTTTAAGGATACATTATTTAAACAATCAAGATATTATCTAGTGTAAATACAGAGATGACGTAGAAAGGAAAATGGTTCATGTAGGAAATAGAGGGGAAAGTTTCAGGATCACTGTTTTAAGAGTTACAGAGAGTATGGCATTTCATGCACACACACAGGGGTTGGTCACAAGCACAGACAATCCATGTATTGGGAAGAAGAGGTCCTAGTTATTAGGTAAGACATTGAATTCATTGTCATAGAGGTATCTTAACTAGATAACATTACTAAGATTACTGTAAGAGCTATCAGGGTTGTTTAATATTGATAATATTTAATATCTCTTGTAGAGACCTTTTCATGTGGGTGTGTCTCTTTATGTGGTCTTCTTCCTTGGAATCGCCTCTCGTCTTTAGCATTCCTGCGCACAGACCAATGTAAAAGTAAACTGGTTTAAACAAAAAAATTTTACCTTCCCATATTTTCTTTATGACCATATAAATATTTTTATTTAGCCTTAAACAGAAGTATATATAGTTTTATGCTTCTTTTCTTTGTTGATCAACATTACCTTGTCAATACCAATTTTAAAAATTGTGAAATATGTCCATTTGGAATTTTAGTTACTTGTTAAAAAGATAATGCTATTCCTAAAATGTAGAAAATAATTTTGTTAATTAACGTGAAAGCTATTGTTAAGTAAAGATTCCTTTACTTTTTTATTAAATCTAGAATTTTTTTAACATTTTCTTGTTATACATATATTATAAAATGTTTTTTGACACAGTATATATAATATATAATGTATGCATACATAATATATAGTAATATAAGTACATTTAATAATTTTGTTTATAGATGCTCATATATATTTTATATCTTTACATAATTTCATTTTCTTTCATATGGAAAATATATGTGACCACCATATTTGTTAAACTGCTCTCTTCTTGTATGTGTTCTCATATATGTTAGTAATTAATTGTCTTTAATTTTTGAAAGCTCACTGAAGTTCTGAACCACCCTTTAATCATTTCATATTCTTACAATCTAGGACAGTGGTGAGTAATGACAGATCACAGCTACTTGTTGAAGTACTAAACAAATCAGTTTAAGGCTTCAAAAAATTACTAGTCACCATTATATTTACAGGTAAATTTGTCCTTAATTCTGAAATAATGACAGAGCAGAACGTATGGAACTAAGGAACAATGTGACTGAGTTCATCCTCTTAGGGCTCACTCAGAGTCTTCAGGGTCAGAAAATACTATTTGTTGTCTTCTTGCTCATTTACATTGTCACAATGGTGGGTAACCTCCTCATCGTCGTGACCGTGTTGATGAGTCCAACCCTGAGTGCCCCGATGTACTTCTTCCTGGGCTACTTGTCATTCATGGATGCTGTTTATTCTACTACGGTCACCCCAAACATGATTATAAACTTACTCTATGAGAAGAAAACCATTTCCTTCCAAGCTTGCATGACTCAGCTTTTTATTGGACACTTATTCGGTGGTGCTGAGATTTTACTTCTGGTGGTCATGGCCTATGACCGCTACGTGGCTATCTGTAAACCCCTGCATTACATGACCATCATGAGCCAACGGGTGTGTGTTCTGTTGCTGCTATTGGCCTGGTTTGGAGGTTTTGTGCATGCGGGAGTGCACCTTCTCTCTGTCTATAACCTTCCCTTCTGTGGTTCCAATATCATAGACCATTTCATATGTGACATGTACCCCTTATTAAAACTTGCCTGCGCTGACACCTATGTCATTGGCCTCACCGTGATCGCCAATGATGGGGCAATATGTTTGGTCATCTTTATGATGGTACTCATTTCCTATGGAGTCATTCTGAATTCCCTGAAGAACCTGAGTCAGGAAGGTCGACGGAAAGCCTTATCCACCTGTGGCTCCCACATCACTGTGGTGGTCTTCTTCTTTGTCCCTTGTATCTTTATGTATGTGAGACCTCCTTATACCTTACCCATTGATAAACACTTGACTGTGTTTTACACTGTGTTTACCCCCATGTTGAACCCCTTAATCTATACTCTTAGAAATGCAGAGATAAAGAATGCCATGAAGAAACTTTGGACCAGTAAAAGGAAATGAAGCGCAGACTAACGGATCACCTACTTTCAACTGGATTTGACCCTTCCAGATAGCAAAAGAAAATGAGAAAGCCCCAAATCCATTGCTATTGTGTAATTTCAGGAATCTGTAATGTTTAATTATGATATATACTTCCTCATGTCAAGTAACTTGTACATGGTAAAATATTGATGATAACACTTCCAAAGATGAAAGATGGAGCTTTCTATTCCCATAAACTGTTGTAATCTTGGAAACTTGCAGGGGATTTCTACCCTGCCCTATAGGGTCGCAATGAGTCAGCAATGACTCCATAACAGTGAGGAAAATATACCCTTGATTTATTGTACTAGAATGTTTCTTCAGATCTATAGACATATATCATATTCAATGTTTTATACTATAGTGAATGTGCAAAATTTAAATTAAAGGAAGGAGTTTTTATCAAGTTTCTTAATAAACCTCATTTTTTTTACCATCAACAAAGTTAATTTCAGATATCAGAATAATACAATTCAAAATAAGACTTATAATATGATTCATCGAACTCCATACAGAGATAACTTATATACATGTATGAGTACATATTTTTATCTTTGTATCTTGCAAGATAGTTTAAATATGTAATTTTGCTTACAGTGTTTAAGATGTATAAGTTTAAATGAGAAGGTGAATCATAGTTCTAAATTAATCATAAGAAGGAAAAATATACCAAAATAATGTGAATGAACAAGCAAGATAGGAAAAGAAAAAGTCCCAGTTAGTTTCTCATTTGGGAAAAATATGACTATTCATCTTCCTAGGTAGTTTGCTATATCTAATAATCACTGTTATTTTTAAAAACCCCTTCTTATGGCTTATAGAGGAACATGCCCTACTAATTCAGACTGAGACCCTAATTTTTATATTTAAAATGAGCAAAATCCAAGTCAATGGTCTTCAAATACACAATACAGAACTCACCACTGAATTATTTGGCATGGTTCATTGCCAAGAAAAATGTCGATGATTTATGGTGCTTCCATTCATTCATCTCTTACTAAGGGAATGAAATTTTTAGGCAACAAACACAATAGATTGTTGTGTTTGATGAAGGTCTCATTCACAATATCTTTGGGAATAATTCTCTTTTTATCCAGCTTAAAATAAATTATTTTCTGCCTCTCATATAGTAGGAAAGTTATGGTAAAAGACACTTGTGTTTTCTGTCTTCTCTGCTTAGTATTGTTTCAACAGGGTCTAAAGGTGATAGGGAACTTGGGTTCATTTTACTCCTACTATTATTACACGGAAAGGAGCTCTAATGGTGCAGGGGATAAGCAATCAACTGGTAACTGAAATGTCTGCGATTTGAATCTCCTAGCTTCTCTGCAAGAAAAAGATGTAGCAGTCGTCTTCCTTAAATATTTTAGCCTTGGCGACCCTATTGGACAGTTGTACTCTGTTTTATATGGTCATGATGTATTGGAATCAACTCAGTGGCAATGGGCTTAGGGTTGGTTTCATTACAAGGATATTTCTCACATCACCTCAATTCTTTTTAAGCATAACACTGTTTATCAAATAATATTGAGCACTTGGTTGTCTTTGAATTAATATAGCTACATCCTCCACTTTTGGACATTTAACCAATCTTAAAATTTGTATAGCTACATTAAAAGACAAGATAAAAAAATCCCAGTTAATCATCTACTTATGTTCACTGACCAACATGTGTCCTGAGGGAAGATAAAGTTAATCATGTTTATATTTTCTATTTCTTGCATTATGCCTGGGATCGAGAATTTGTACTTTATTTGTATTCTTAAATTCTCAATTTAATGTAGTCTGAATTTTTATGGATTAATTTTGATGAAATCTTTATATATGAAGTATATTTACTATTTTTCTTTGATATTTGCATTAAAAGCTTACTATATGTCTCATATTATGATTATAAATGCTTTTATGCAAAAATACAACATTTAAGAATTAGTTTTGCTTTTTGATTTCTTCTATAGAATTCTATTCTCTTTACTTAATTTTATACATTTATTTTGCAAACAACTTCCCAAATAATTCTGTTTCTAAACTTACCTAGACTCTTGTGTGTATGTGTTTGTTGAGAGAATAGTCAAATTTGCTTTCTCAAAATAAGTAAAATATTCTGATAGAATCATTCATTAATTCTTCTCAATAATAATTTGAAATTCTTCTTTTAATGGGTCACTTTTTTGATATGAAAGGTTCAATTGTTGCATCATCAAAAGCTTATTTTATTTTAGAAATTGGTTTATTTCTTTGCCAATGACATTATTTTGACAATCAAATATTTTAAATATTATTTATATTGGATGGAATCATTTACACTAATTACCTATTTAAAAATTAGGCACTTTCTAAATTTTTTTCTTCCTGATAAACCTTAGTATCACTAAGATTTAAAAATTTCATACAAAATCCAGTTTAGAATTTAAGGTACTAAAAAAATTCTATTTTGATAAAATGGTATGTGATCATGTTTTCTATCTAGATAGAGAGATGTGTGTTAAGGCTTACATTATACTTTTCAATGAATAGGTGTAATGACCTCAATAGAGAGTGCACAGAATTTTCCTTCTGTTTTCCTGAATCTTCTCAGGTGCAAGTATATCAAAACATGTTATCCAACCATGGCTGGATCCAGATAAAGTCACACAGGAGTGTGTACAGAATCACACAAAGCTCTGCATCTGACCAAACTTGAGTCAATATATAAGCATATAAGGGATTGTGTCTAATCTCACATGAATCTGTTTTGATACATATAGTTCTATATAAAATAAATTCAAAATATTTACCAGACCATAAACTGGTGTTTTAGTTTTTAGTAGTGCTATAGCAGAAAGCCAAAAATGGATGGCTTTACCAAACAGATATTTCCTCTCACAGTTTAAGAGTTAGAAGTCCATATTCTGGGCGGATGCCTTGGTAACAAAGTAGTTAAAACATGGGGCTCGTAACTGCAGGGTCAGCAGTTAGAAACAACCAGCCACTCCTCAGGAGGAAAAAGGCTTTCTATGCCTGTAAGCAAATTCACAGGGGCAGTTCTACCCTGTCCTATAGGGTCACTATGAGTAGGAAACGAGTAGGTGGCAGTGAATTTGGTTTAGGGGAGGTCCAGGGGATAACTTTCTCTCTTTGTTCACACTTCAAAAGTTTCAACATCTGTGGGGCAGGTATTTCTTGGAAATCTTGTGTCTTGCTATTTTCCCCTGGGACCAAAAGTTTCCCAACACGGGAAACCTAGTTCCAAAGGATGCATCCTGCTTCCAAGTGATCTTTCTTGGTGGTCATAAGAGGGAGTACCCCCAAAGAAATGAGAAAATAAACAGCTCTGCTGGCCGGAGCTTTCATAGTATCCAATTTTCCTGCTAGGCAAGCATCCAGCAACTCACTCTGAGTCAATGCACCCAGCGGTGTCGCCTGGCAAGTTTCTCTCTGGTTACAGTGAAATAAACCAATTTTTCAGAACTGCATTGGACCATTTGAGCAACTGGAGCCTAATACTATGTAAATCTGTATCTTGCCACAAACAGCCATTTATCTGACTATATAAAATGCATATCTCACCAGACACTATTGGACCTCCAAGCAAACAAGTGTCTCTATTTGATGATATGTATCTCTATCTGACAACATACATGTGTTCTACCCCATATCAGCCTTTATTTAACCACAGAACTGTCTGTATCTTATGATAAATAGATTTTTGTCTGATCATATACTGATCTTTATCTTCACATAAAGATTGTAATTGATGATGCGTAGGTGAGTATCCAACATATGTACATATTTGTGTTCAGTCACTTGTAGGCCTGTGTCCAACAACATGCTTGAAAAGTGTGTCTGAACACATATTTGTCTGAATGACCATACTTAACATGTTACAGTTTGGATTGAACTGTGTACACATTTTTCTTTGTAAATATATGTTAATTTGTTTCTGACAAAATATGGATACGTATTGGCTACTCATATAATAATTTGACTATACCCAAATCTGTATCCATTTATACATGATGCTTTATATTACCATACACTAGTATATATCTACTAACACATGACATATCCAACCACACATGATTCTTTATCTGACCATACAATGCTCTGTATTCAACCACATAGGGAGCTTCAAAAAGTTCATGGAATATAGAATCAGCAGATTATGTGTTTTTCCCATAAACACATTGGGCCATCTTGTATATGGGTCTGTATCCCATCACACATAGTTCTAGATATAACCACCCAGGTATCTGTATTTTATCCCTGGATAGTCGAAGCTCTTTGTGCTCCACTGCTAAGGTAAAGGTTATTAGTTCAGATCCACTCAGTAGCATTGTTGAAGTAAGGACTATGGATATGCCTCCATAAATATTACAAGGAAAATATCTATATAGCATGAAAGATTTCTAGGTCCAAGGATATTTAATCTAAATCCAAATAACTCCCTTCTTGGTGGAAGAACATTTATTATTTATCTTCTGTGATTTTTTCCCCACACAGGTCACATCAGAGTATTTTTCATTTCTGAATTTCTCAGAGTTGTTTTTATTTTTGGTTTACTCTTTAAGGGAACAGATTGCCATGTGTTTTTCTATACAGAAGTATTGGTGGCTTTACACTGGAGACCTTCAAGATTACAGCCAAGTGCTAAACTGCTTCATCAACAGAGCTTCTTGCATAATGAGTATGCAACAGAACAACACAAAGCCATTGTGTGGTTTCCAATAAAAAACAACTCTACAGGATACTGCAGAGGAGAGTGGAAATAGCAAAATCTTACTCCTGGCACATCTTCCTCCTCCATGTGACATTTTTGTTCTCTAACACTTTAAAGTGATTTTGTGCAATAGATTTGGCCAATGAAATATGCCATTTGCATTCTATGATGCTCACCTTCCCGACACAACCACTGAAGACAAAGCGGGTGAATAAGCAAATGTGGTGAAGAAAGCTGATGGTGCC